CATCTCAGACCTTGCCCTATTGTTATGATTGGAAGTATAAATTAATAACACAGATTGTTTTGGCTGTATCCTCAAGGGGGGTTAAAGTACTGTAAAACGATTGTCCTCCTGAGAGGGTACGTAAGTCCCAAGACAATGTAAATTTAAACTCTCCACTTTCTAATCGTAGAATATGTGTATTTTTAACGTATGTCTATATGTGTGTAAATTGCTAACAGCTGAAGGGATGATGTAAATCCAGCTAGGGCCCATGCAGGAAGCAAATGTACTGTCAGTCCCCATGGTCCCTAGTAGTGTGATCTACCTTCAGTCGTTGGCAATATACAGCCTGTTTTTATATTGTATTGTCATTTATAGTTGAAATATTTTAGATTTAGTTACTAGTTTTAAATGGATATCTGTGATACACTAGTAGTTTTACTGTTCTTCGTCAACAGGTTTTTAAGTTCTAACTTTATTGATCTTTACTATAATTATAAATTGTTCTCGTCACGATATGGCTGAAATATTGCCAATGTGACGATACATATTAACTCACTCACTTACTATTGTTATGACAAATATTATTCTGTGAGGTCATCTTTACCTTCTATTTCGTACAGTCGAAAATATACAAAATCACCTCCACCAGTCGCGGTTATTTGACAGAACTGCAAACCTTGAGTCACAATCATATTGCTATCGAAATGCTATCAAATAATCCCATATTGTATGTATTATTTGTCTTTGATTATGTATACAATGTTCCTGTACCCTATATTCGTCGTACGAGACAACTAAACTTGACAGTGTGTATTGGTATGAATTTCAAAGTATAATTCATGGGCCCCGCTTGTTTTGGCATTGTCCTTGTTATACTCCGTGGTTGGTGGCGAGCTCGGATGATGATGAATTCTAAGATGCCTAGCGGTTAGAACAATCGAAAAAAACAAACATTATCAGACAATAAAGGTATACAAGATATTTTTATGGATTAACCCCCTGGATGCCACAGGGACATATATGTCCTTCCCCCTTCAACCCTCAATTTCAAGTCGAATAAAAATTAAAATATCCCACGCACACAAATACACTTCACAGTTTCGAATTCTGCGGGAAATTTCCTGTTTCTTGATACCATCCACTATTATTTTAGACAAAGCTCAAGTGCTGAAAATGACCTTTCAAAATAGGCTTCATCGAAAATGGCAACATTTTTGACACAGTATGAAATCGCGATTCACAGCGTTATTTGCTGTATGTTTTGAAATGTGAAAATCGGATAATTCCTGGGAGTACTGAATTTCAAAACTAACCTATTCATGATCACTGATATCAGTTTTACATGAAATCGCTAATTATAATTCTGAAACGTTGCCGATGAATCTAGAATCGGTTGGGATGTTTTCGAAAATGCACTTACACGAACGCCGTAGAGCGCTTTCCGCCATATTGGATAGTGTTTACAAAATCACGTTTCGCGAAGGCCGGTATTGAGACGCCTATTATATCACGTATATTTCATATTCAGCTTCGAAAAATGCATCACTGAATTCCCCATACATTTTAGAATCAAATTGCAACTGGCCTGTGTCACCAATACCAACTGTCTAGATAAAATGAGACGAAACATATTGGGTGTGAAAACGAACGCTGTGCTCGAAAGACTGCGCTGGTTCGAAATGTAAACAAAGACAAATTCCGATTTTACACTGCGTAGCATTTTCTGAAATTTTCCAGTATTCATCCGTCTATTTATTGCTTGCAATGGCTCAATACCTTTGGAATATGCATGCAAAGAGTATCGTAGTAAGAAATAGGAAATTATAAATTGATACAATGCAATGATTTGATAATTCATAAGAAATTGTCAAAGTTTCCGTGCAGCGTGACGCCATGACTGACGCAAAATCACGCAGAACGACAACTGTAATTATCAGCATTTCTGGCTTCTTCTCTTACTTACAGTGAAAACGATAGAAACATATAACAATACACAGTTAGTCAGAATCATTCTGATTACTTACATGTCATATTTATGTACAAACGATCCCTGAATCAATGGAAGGGTCCTCGCAAAATCCTGTGTATCCTTGTCAGCAAAGCCGCCATTTTGTAAGAAATAGGTCAGCGGTAGTGATGTCATACGTCAACATTGTTGTACATATTAGGCAATTTCTTTGAGGTGAAGGTCGGTTGAACAAGAGTAAACACAATCGCCCAATCCTTCCGATTACACTGTCAGTATTATGATGTATATTTTGCGGATAGTTCAGATACTTTTCATGAAACTGACCTCAGAGGTCCCTTTTGATGAACTTTAGATACAAGAAAAAACGAGTCTACTATTCTTTTTGGAAAGCCTGCTATCAAGGAACCTTTGTGTTATTAGCAGTTGTTGTGTATTAGCATGAATTTCATCATTATGTAATTAACTCTTCAAACTCACTTGTACAGTACTCTCCCTAGTGTACTGTGATGTCACTTGCATTGTGACGTCATTACTCAGTTATGACGTCATAGTGACGACGTCATAGTCCTAACTGCCAGTACTGCCAGTTCACCTGATGAAGGGACCTGGAATGGTCTCGAAACGTTGTGAGAGAAATTAAAAAAGAAGTTTAATCCATAAAAATATCTTGGACATCAATGTACAACTTCTAAATGCCACTGAAAGACAATAAAGGTATAGTTTTTTGATGACGTAACAATTGAATGACGTTATCCCGGCACTGCGCCATTCTAGTGTGCCCCCCTCGTAATCGAACCATTTTACATTACGTCACAATGTCAGCGACGTCACGATGCATGTCAGTTGTCATCGCCTCGTACAGCCTCCTACAGTAAACTACTGCGTTGCATCCCGTTTCTTGGTTTGCAGTTGCTTCACTCACCTAACATCACTGGTGGAAACATTACGTTTATGTTTTCTGACGTTTTAAATGTCTCAATTCGACTCGCAAGTTTTCAGCGACACGGTAACGTTCGCAATGTTTACATTCCCACAATGCAATCGTGGAATGTCGCTTGACTACTCAGTTTCGTCTGGAAATGTAATATGGCATGTTTCCTTGTCATTGAGGATCAAGATATGACACCGTTAGAGTTGGAACTCTTCTGCAGTATCTAAGGGTATCCAAGGCATCGCCGGCGGTGCGAAGAACATTAAACGCTTACGGGCAATTTGAAGTCCGCGTGCGTTCTTGATAGGTCATTATTTGTGGATGATTTTAATATTTTAATACAAATCGTTACAAAAACATGTATACTATTGATAGGCAACTGCAAGTGTGCTTGAATAAAATTACTAAATGATGTTTAGAAAACAGATTCAAATGTTTAAAATCAAAAACAAATTGTATCCACTTTTGCCGAAAATATAAACCACACAAGGACCCGGAATTAATTTTACACCTATTGAAATTGCAAAGAGCCAAAGTTCATAGGTCTAATTTCCCATCAACATTTGACCTTTCGACCTCACATAAAATACTTGAAAAATAAATGCCTGAAGGCACGATATATATTTGAAAGTTGTTTCCAACTGGAAGTGGGGAGGGGATCTCCGATCCGTTCAAAACTCGATTATGTCTCCATCATATATGGTGGACTCGGTAAGAGCACCTTAAATTTCTTGATTCTATAAACCATCAAGGTCTAAGACTTTCCCTATAGATAGTCTTTACGTTGAAGCAGATGAACCTTCTCTTAAATACCGCCGCATTTAACTCCCTTTGCAATATATTACTGCACTATATTGCAATAAATAAAAATCGGCATACAACTGTGTGTTTTAATCTACGGAAGCGTAGTAGGGCCACGGTGAATTTCTTTTTTTTGTGTTACTATCTCCTATCTAGTACTTAATATCTCCTACGTAGATAGAGAATACTACACGAGGTCTCAATACATACGAAATATACGAAACGAGTGTCCTTCCTATGGTATCTGACCGAGCGAAAGCGAGGTCAGAAACCATAGGAAGGTCACGAGTTTCTTATAATTCGTATGTAATGAGACCGAGTGTGGTATTTTATTTATTACCCACGTCTTACATGCATTAAATTGACAAAATAGCGTAGTTTTGGTATTGTTGTGGTTTCAAATCGAAACCGGTTTCATAAAGAGGTTGCGGAAGAATTTTGTTCTGACGTACACTTTTGCATGACGTCACACTGTATTGACGTCACTACGCCATTCTCGTCTGTCCCCTTGGTAACCGACGTCACGATGCATGTCAGTTGTCATCGCCTCTCGTACAGCCTCCTTCAGTAAACTACTCCCGCAACACTCCGTTTCTTGGTTTGCAACTGCTTCACTCGGCTAACATCACTGGTGGAAACATTGCGTTTATGTTTTTCGACGGATATAATGTCTCAGTTCGACTCACAATTAAACTCACAAGTTTAAACAGCGACACGGCAACGTTCGCAATGTTTACATTCCCACAATGCATCTAAGTTGTAGAATGAATGAATTCACGTGTTTGTTATGAATGAACAAGTAGTTCCGTCACAACGTGACCTAACTGAGAGGTCATCGGTTATCCAATCAAACCGTTAGAATCTCAGGTCAAGTCGTTACGACATAGGTCAACGCGATACGACACTCGTGTGACGTACGAGATTAGTATCGTGCAACTACCCATACGTTGACCACGTGGGTAATAATACTTTATATCTCCTACGTAGTACTTAATATCTCCTACGTAAGACATACTATCTCCTACGTAGGACTTAGTATCTCCTACGTAGGACTTAATATATCCTTTCTAAGGTTCGGATTATGAAGTATGGTTATTAAGTTGAGAAAAGTTTGGCTATGCAGGACGTTAGATAGTAGAAATGTGAGTCAGTGAATATTCATGACACTAACGCAGTGTTACTATACAGTGTTATTGTGTGTATATTACGTTAGGGTGACGTGGACCCTGTTCTAATTGCGGTTATGGAGGTTTGGGTATGGTTATGTTTAATTGCCACCGATAGTCTAAGACACGGCTGTACACGCAGTTTATGATTCATGTGCAACGACCTCTGAAATATCCAGCGCATAATAGTAAAGTGTAACAAAGTGCAACATATAACAGTGAACTAACTCCAACGCGTAATAGTAGAGCAAACTGAACGCAAGGCAGTAAAGTATAACAGTCAGTCCAACACAGTAATGTGCAACAATTAGTTGAACACATGACTCTAATAGTGAAGGAAACATTAGACTCTAATAGTAAATGAAACACATAACTGTAGACTCTAATAGTGAATGAAACGAATGACTGTAGACTCTAACAGTGACTGAAACAGTGAAACAGGAGATTGTGTGCGTGTCTGGGGATTTAAGTCGACCATTTCAGATTAATGTATATAAACGTATATCGATCATCTCCTACAGGAGATAGTAAGTCCTACGTAGGAGATGCTAAGTCCTGCGTAGGACATACTAAGTCCTACGTAGGAGATGCTAAGTCCTACGTAGGAGATACTAAGTCCTACGTAGGAGATACTAAGTCCTGCGTAGGAGATATTAAGTACTACGTAGGATATACTATGTCCTACGTAGGAGATATTAAATCCTACGTAGGAGATATTAAGTCCTACGTAGGAGATGCTAAGTCCTACGTAGGAGATAGTAAGACAAAAATGTTTTTCACCGTGGCCCTACTACGTTTCCGTATTAATCTCCTTTAAGGGGATCTATATAACAAAATTTCTTCTCTCACTCTACGAGGCGGTGGGGTCGCCTAGTAGTTTAAGGCGTTCGCTCGTCACGCCAAAGACCCGGGTTGGATGGGCACAATGTGTGAAGCCCATTTCTGGTGTTCCCCGCCGTGATATTGCTGGGATATTGCTAAAAACGGCGTAAAACTAAACTCACTCACACACTCTCTTACTCTACCTCTTGGAATACGAATTACACCTTTCATTTTTGCCGCTAATATCGAACTTGAAAACATATCTCCTTCCCGCCTGATTTCTTCTCCTCCTTGGCAGTTGGTGAGACCCCAGGTGGATCTGACATTAACAAAACTTAAGAAATCTGAAACTACAAATCCTTTAGCGTTTTGCCTGAATCATGTCTGGAAACACTTCTAGATATATATGATCAATATAAACTAAGGGGAACTTTCCACCTCCCTGGCATAATGCCATTGCAGTCTCTTTACCAAAGCCTGCCCGGAATCCTTGTAGCTTCAGACCAATATCGTTAACTACATGTGTGTGTAAAACCGTGAAACGAATGGTAAATAATAGAATGATATGGTATCTTGAAACCAATAGGCTTATTACAAATGTTCAATGTGGTGTCCGTACAAATCGAAGTACTATTAATCATTTAGTACGTCTGGGATCCTTTGTTACAATGCTATAGTAAGTAATCAACATATATACTGAAAGCCATTAAAAACGCAATTGGTATTTGTTGTCCTGGAACTAATTACAAAAGTTCTATTGAAGATTTATTTCCTGCGATACAGAGGATTTAGGGATAAAAGAATGTTATTCTGACCCATTTCGAGTTCGAGTCCCCGAACATTCCTCTCGAATGATCTCTCTGTAATTATTGTTAATCTATAACTTGTTTTAGTCAATTCAATTTTCAATTTTCTTTATTCGCAGAGTGCATGTAGGCCATCGGCCCATAATGCAAATATTAAATGTTTGCAGCCATATATGATTGGCGGTGCTTTACAGCATAATAAACAAACATTGCTAAATTTCTGATGACAAAGGTATTGTTGGAGGTCATTAATATATTGTAATTTGACAAAGAAGGGTATGTGTAAAACTTGACAGGAATATATATAGTGCGCAAAGAACTGTATGCAGTACACACTAAAAGGAAATGATACTCGTTTTCTATATATTATCCATTGTCGCACATGTTACATAACCTGTGATGTCTGGGCTTATTTGTTTATCTACCTGTCTCAATATTTAATTGATGGGAACCACAGCGAAACTGTGCGAGTGCAATGCGAAATTTACAAACGTTAATGACACTTAGATATGGTTCCATAGATAGATTACACTTGAAAAGAGAATATGAATAAGTTTTAGAACTTGATGATAACGAGTTATGCCATTCTTGATGGGATATATGCTGAGCCCTGATCATAAATTCAGACAGGAAGGAATTTAAGCTACTAATATACTGTCTTTCCCATATATATCCAAATGCCATATTGTAAAGTAATAACTTAAGCTTTGATACCCAATTTGTTTTACCATGGCTAGCATCTAACAATAATAAGTTATAGCACTTTCTGGGTAGACGAGATACTGGCATATTCAACATTTTATACCAATATTTAATACAACGTTTGTAAGCATAAACATAGACAGGGTATCTGCCACACTCACCCCGAACGATGTGATTAGGGGTTGATATTTTGACACAAAGCAGATATTTACAAGCCAGAGTTTGAACTTTCTCGATTGGTGAACTAATATCACAATCCAACCCCCAGACTTCAGCCCCATAGAGTAGGATTTGTAACACTTTTGAATCAAAAATCCTGAAGAAAATGTCATAGAAAACTATAGAGGGCCTTTTTAGATTGTAGAATGGAGTTATCAAAATGTTTATGCCACGACGAGCTTTGAGAAAGAAGAACACCCAAATACTTATACCCTGGGACACAATCTATTCTCATGCCACTCAAATACCACTTTTCATATTTAGAGAGCTTACCTCCATTTCTAAAGACAACAATTTTGGATTTATCTAGATTAACGGAAAGGTCATACTCGATACAATACTTTTCCAAAACATTGATACGCTTTTGTAGGCCACAGATAGTATCGGAGAGGAGTACTACATCGTCAGCGAACAACAAGAGAAATACTTGTGTTAGTTCTGGATGCATCTGTATACCAGGATAACAAGATGACTCAATTTCACTAGCCAATTCATCTATAAAAATAGAAAATAAAAATAGAAAGGGGCTTAAGACACACCCTTGAAGCACTCCAATATTACACTGGAACATTTCGGAAAACATATTATTTGATTTAACGCAAGATTTGACACAATCATAGATGGATCGGACACAATTCAACATTTTGGTAGACACGCCCTTCTCATTTAATACAGACCATAATTTTGCCCTATTCACCAAATCAAACGCTTTTGAAAAATCTACAAAAAAAGCATATTATTTCGCTTTCTTAGATAGAATTCTGTTAATAATAGTTTGTAAAATGAAAATGTTGTCTATAGTCGAGTAACCAGCTCTGAACCCTGCCTGCGACTCGGAGATCTTGCAATAAGCATCAGTCCAAAACCTGAGCCTATTATTAATAACTGACACATATAGTTTACTAAAGACACTGAGAACTGTAATCCCTCTGTAATTGGACACCTTATTGACATCACCCTTTTTATGAACAGGAACTATTATACCCATTGACCACTGAGCTAGGAATATACCTTTATCAAAAAGCATATTGAATAAACTAGTAAGATATGGAATAATAACATCCCAATAACGTCACGATATGGCTGAAACATGGCCAAAGTGACTTTAAACTTTAAGTCACTCACTCCTCTCGAATGAACTTCGATGCTTAAAACTGAACCTTTGACATTTCTCGTAAACACAACCACATTCATGAACACGTTGTGCACGTGCATTACCTGTACCAAGGCCCTTTAAGAGCACAAGGAATTGTGAAACTCAATCCCTTTGAGAAAATGCCACGCTTGACACAAGACGAAAGGAATCAGGCTATCGTTATGGTCAGTTAAGGTGTTTCAGATGTGATGATTGCAAGGCACTTTGATGTGCGTCCATCCACTGTTGGTCGACTCAGACAACAACGTTTTCGGGCCACCGGAAGTGTTGCTCCTCGTCCGCGATCTGGTGCACTACCTGTGACGACAGCTCGACAGGACCGCAATATCCGAGTTTCACACTTGAAAAAAATCGGTTAAAAAAGCTGCTATTACGGCAAGGAGGACAATTGGGACAAGGCAACGTCATGTCAACGCCCAAACGGTGCGAAGATGCCTTGCTGCCTTCAACATCCGGTGTCGTCGTCCGTACCCTGGTCCAACCTTATTGCATCGCCACAGACTTGTCAGAGAGCGAGGGGAACCTAATGGGGCCAATCTTGGCAACAGGCCATGGCGAGATGTCATTTTTTATGAATTCAGGTTTAACTGCAGATGGACGTCAACGGATTTATCGACGTCGAGGAGAAAGACTTGCGCCAAACTTTGTCATTGAACATGATCGTTTTGGAGGGGTGGTTTTATGATCTGGTGTGCTATCAGTGCCTACTTCCGATCCCAGATGGTAGTGGTTAACGGCAATCTGAATGCTCAACATTATGTGGACAATATCCTTCTTCCGGCTGTACTCACAATGATGGATCAACATGGCGGTCGTATTAATTTTGTGTTTCAACATGATACTGCACGTCCCCATGCAGCCAGGGTAACAAGGGTCTTATTGAATAATGAGAATGTTCGTGTGATGGACTGGCCTTCATTGTCCCCAGACATGAACCCAATCGAGCATCTGTGGGATGAACTTGGAAGGCGAGTTCGAAATCAACTTGTGCCAGAACAGTTGCTGATCTGACACAGGCCCTTCAACATCACTGGCAGACCATCCCACAGCTGTTCCTGAGACATTTGTGTCTTTTAATGCCCCGGAGACTGCGAGCATGTCTTGGAGCGCACGGTGGACACACACTATATTGACTGCCAGTGACCCTTCCTTTGTTTGATGTCGTTGGTGCATCACTGATGTTGTTGATTGGACATTTTCAGATGAAATTATCCACATATGTTCACTTAAAACATATCTGCTAGTTACATTTATATATTCTGACATTTGTGTGAATAAAGAAAGTATGAACGTCAAATTGCGTTTTTAATGGCTTTCAGTATAGTATCAGTTTTCTTTCACTTTGACCAAGCATACGATACTACTTGGAAGCATGGTATTTTAAAGGAATTACGTTTGGTTTGAGAGGCCGTTTACCCCTATTTATACCACAATTTTTTAATAGACATGCAATTTACAATCTGAGTGTCAACCCAGTCTGACCATTATTATCAGGGTAAGGCTGTTCCACAAGGCAGTGTTTTGTCTGCCACATTATTTAGGATTAAAATAGATAGTCTTTTAAAGGTTTTAAGTATTTCCGTAGGGTTTAAATTGTGCTAAATAAAGAAAATTTAAAGTGTAATTTCTGCAGAAAATATACGCCGCAAAAGGAACCAGAACTATATCTAAGTGACACACCTTAAAGTTGTAAAGGAGGCCATGTTCTTGGGACTTATTTTTTTTCTCGCATTTGACTTTCCTTCCGCACATGAAGTACCTGAAAGCTAAATGCCTAAACTTGTTGAAGGTCAATTCAAAGTGAGAGTTGGTGAAAATATATTCCAATAAACCTAACCCAGCATGTAACTGTGTATTAGGATCTTATGATAAAATAAATATTCTTTTATGCAAAATACCCGTGTAGGTATGATAAAATAAATATTCTTTTATGGAATACGAATTAAACCTTTCATTTCTGCCACTAACATCGAACTTGAAAACATATCTCCTTCCCGACTGCTTTCTTGTCCTTCTTGGCAATTGGTGAGACCACAGGTGGATCTCACAATCACAAAAGTTGGCTAGTTTCAGATTTCCTAAGTTTTCTACCAACAAAAATACAATCAATTAAGACACGCTTAACTATCTCCACGGATGGATCTAAGGATGGTGGTGCAATTGGTAATGTCACTGTCATTTGATCCAGAACAATTTCTTCAATATTACCACACAATAGTTTCATTTTTACAGCTGAAGCAAACGCCATTTTATCTATCAATAAACAGTATAAATATGAACAATACATAATATTTTGCATGCAGGCCATTAATAACATGTCAACTAAACATCCACCTTTAATCGAAATTCTTGAATTACACAGCGAGCTTTCTGTTGGCCAATACAACATCGTCCCTCTGTTGGTTACCGAGCCATGTTGAAATTTCGGGCAACACAATGGCCGATTCTCCTGCAAAAGCAGCACTCAACAAATCTATGACACCGCTTCTGATCCCATACTCCGATTACAAAGCTGCCATTAAATCTTAAATCCGTGCTATAATGCAAAATACCCGTGTAGGTATAAATTAGTTACATCACATAAAACTAACACTTGGTTACACCTATTTGGGTTGTCAGTCCAGATTTGAAGAGGTCATTATGCGACGATGTCGCATTGGCCATACGCGATACACTCACGAATTCATACTTCGTAAAAGGTGAGGATTCTCCGTTGTGTATCCCTTGTGATGTGACACCACTTCTGATAAATTACAGTGACTATAAACCTGTAATTAAAAGTTACATCCGAGATCTAATGCAAACGAAGTGCGACACCCAAGTAGGCATAAATAAAACCAACTATCGGTTAAGCACACTTGGGTTGTCAAGACGATGTCGTATTGGCCATACGCGATATACATATGAATATCTAGTATTAAAAGGTGAGGATCCTACATTTTGTATCCCTTGTGAAACACGGCCAAGCATGTCTTGCATGACTGTATTGATTTTTCAATCAACTGTGAAGGATCTATTTAATGATTTGAGTTGTCATTTAATTATCATTTTTTAAACGAAATTGCACTCATTCATAAATTTTGATATTTGCTAGTGCTTTATAAATAATTTAGATTGCTAGTGGACATGTCCTCGACCAGGGCTGAAGTAACATAAAATAATTGTTCCCCTAAAAGGGTATATAAGTTCAACATCTTTATTATGGACACCATACTTTTAAACGTAGTATATTTGTCAGTTTAATTTTTGGCTAAACTCACCCGCCAGTGACTGAGGGGATGACATAAATTCAGCTAGGGTCAATGCAGGTAACAAAAGCACTGTAAATCCCTATGGTCCCTAGAAAGGTGATCTACCTTAGTTGCTGGTGATCTATGGCCCGGTTATGATATTGTCTTGTCCTGTATTGTAGTATAATGTTCAACTTACATGCTAGATTTACTGGCCTATGTCAACAGGTTTTAAGGAATAATTTTATTGATTATCAATGTATATCTTGTTTTAGTCACGATATGGCTGAAATATTGCCGATTTGACTCTAAGTCTTAACTCACTCACTCACTCACCAGATCCCCGGTCTCCGTGGTACATCTGGCACATTGCTGATTACGGTTTTCAGCAGCATGTCTTGCTTCCTCGTGTTTGTTTCCTAGTTCTTGGTCCTTCACCATGCGTTGTTGACGGTACTCAATCTGTTCGTTACCTTTTCAGCGTCGCAGTGTCTTTCAGTGCATCCTGACAAGCAATCCTTTTCTGGTTCGGAAGTCGTGGCCTGCCGTATGACTAACATGGTGTGTTGCGCTGACTACTGTCTCGCGAACCCATCTTGTTACAGTGTGGAGTGGAACGTTCAAGACGGAAAATGTTGGGCTCACTATGAAGCCAAGGCAATGTACAAGGCTAACTGTAAATGTACAAGGTTCGTGAAGGACAGGGACTGTAAACCTCCATGTG